TTACCAATTCAAGGAAAGGAATTTCCTATCTCTTGCTTAATTTGGTGGGCATTCCCCATCTGTTAATGTGTGTTGACAAGAAAGCAAGATTATCAGCAGTGAGCCATGTAACACAAGGTAGAAGAATGCTTAGGAACACACATGCTAAGAGCTCTTGGAATGAGACTACCGTTTCAGTCTATGGTGTAAGACTGCATGTTTTAGTTAAGAACCTAAGAAAGAAAATATGTTTAGATTTTTAATTTTCAGTGTGTGTTACATGCACACACATGTATACAATGCACTCAAAAAAAAAAAAATCTGATGCCTTAGAAATGGTTGTGAGCCAGCAATGGATTCTGGGGATAGAACTCTGGTTCTTAAGAAGAAAAGCAAGTGTTCTTAACCGCTGATCTATCTCCCTAGCCCCCTCCCCCTGGTTTTTGTTTATTTTTAAAAATCCTGCTTGTTTGCTTGTTTTGATTTTTTTTTTTTAAGTAGCACAACTATGGCAGCGTTATTGTAATTGACTGAGTGGGCTGAGAGTTAGCAACCTGTTGATTGGATCCCAGTTCTAGTAGGTAGTTTTACTGAGTGGATCATTACAGCTCAATCAACAGCATCAGAAAGTTTGAAGTAATCTGTAGAGGTGACCTTAGCTCCATGTGTCCTGGTCACAGTGTGAGCTCCTACTTTCACAGTCTGACTCAATAGCCTCTGAAACTCAGAGACAATGCAGTTTGCTTCCTGTAAAGTTTTATCTAAACATTTACACGCAATATAAACAGGTGTAAAAGTTTTTCTAGTGGCTGGAGAGATAGTTAGGGCTTGGGTGAGGGTAGGGGTAAAAGTACTTGCTACCAAGTCTAATGACCTGAGTTTGATCCCTGGAACCCACAGAGAGGACCGAGTTGTTTTCTGACCTACACATACACACGCTAAAATAAGTAAATAAATATATATAAATGGGAAAGTTTTAAAAATTAAAAAAAATCCTTTTAGAAAGGCATTTAGTCTCTGAAGTAGCTAATTATTGATAGTATTTTTAATAGATTAACAAGGTGATTAAACCCGTTTCATGAGTAGTTAATATTTTCAATGACTTATTTGTAAAAACAAGTTCAGATTGCTTTGTGTTTTTCTTAATGTTGTGCGTATATTGTCTAACAGATTCCAGACCTTAATTTTTTCAATTTTCTGGTATTCACTGAATCTCAATATGTGGCTCAAAATTTTATTTTAATGTGTGAAGTTGTTGAATGGGGTTTTTCTGTTTATTGATTCTTCACCCATCTGCCCATCTTCATTAATTCTCTTCCACCCAATCCATATTACCTCCTTACATTTTAAACGCCATCTGCCAAATGGAACTTTAGTATGAAGCATCTGTTTTCTTAAATTGCCAAGAATAATTTCAACATGATTTTTTATTTTTGTCTCCATTTCTTCCTTTTGTAACATGAGAAACCTTAGCTGGTGATTGAGAAAGCCAACAGTACTTGAGTTCATCTGGTTCTTTAAGATCAATTTTTCAAAGCACCATTTGTTTTGTTTTACTTTTTATATTTTCATTTTATGCATATGGATGTTTCATCTGTCTGCATGTCCGTGTACCATGTGCAAAGGCCAAAAGAGGAAGTGGGACTGGGGTTACACATAGCTGTGAACCCCGGTATAGGTGCTGAGGCTAGGAATTGATCCCCGGTCCTCTGGAAGACCAGCCAGTGCATTTAATGCTGAGCCGTCTCTCCTGTCTCCTACCCAAAGCATAAAGCACTATAAGCACAATAGTTATACCCTTCTTTTCTATAGAAAGGTGACTTTCCGGACATCTATACATTTTGAGCTGAGGATGATAACTATCTGATGTTAGAGGCATTTTTTTCTCATTTCGCAGCAGCAGCCCCAGGACACTTTACAGACTTTGAGGTTTCAGAAAAAAGATGTTCTTTTGTCTCTGGCTATTTCTTTTTCTCTTTTAAAAATATTTTATTTAATATTCATATATACGTATGTGTTTTGATCAAACCATTCTACCCTTTTCCTTTTAATTCCTTTCCTAACCTTCCCCCTCACTTTTCTCTCCCAATTTTTTAAAAAACATAAAAAAGAATCCACTGGCTCAATGTATTGCCGTCTATGTGTGCATGGATGTGTGACCGTCTACTGGAGCACAGGTGACCCCTCAGGCCTGCATTCCTGAAGAAAATCCACCTTCTCACACCCCAGCAGTCATTAGTTGCCAAGAGCACCTCAGACAGAGGTGGACTTCATGGACCCTCCCCTGTCTCGGCTGGGACTTAGGCTGCTTGATCTTGTGCCAATCTTGTGCAGCCCCGATGCTGTGAGTTCATGTGTGCAACTGAGCTGTCGTGTCTGACAAATACTGTTTCATTCCAGACATCTACTCCCTCTGGCTCTTCTAGTCATTATTATAGCTTATAGCATTCACAAGTAAGACTATTGATGACATCTCACCCTGGTAGGATGCATAGAGCCTTCCATCACTGTGAAAGCTAGTTGGTAAAGAAGAAGCTTCTAGGGTGGTACCAGCTTAATTTTTCCATGTCAGGTGTGTGGTATCTTTAGCAGTAGGGTTTTACCCCAAGTTCTGGAGGGTCACCAAGAACAATGGCAAAAACCAACGAACAAGCAAAAAACAACCCTAGAATTTGGAGGGAGGGTGTTTATGAGACTCTACTGAATAACAACTCAGAAAGAGGTAGCCCATACCCTGTACTGGGCTTTTTCTTTGATAGGTCTCTAGGGGTATCATTGTCTCCCGATATACGGTAACTCGTTTTATATATGTATGTATATTTCAGGAAACCTCTGTGGTAGTCGGTTTCCGTAAGACGTTTCAAGGCATTTAGTGTTAGAATTAAATGGAGGTGGGGGTGGGAGGGCAGGGTAGAAGAGGGGGGTATGGGAAAGGGGAATGCTAGAAGTCTTTAGCTAATTTCACAGAAAATGTGTGTGTCCATATAGACTATCTAGTATGCTTTATACATATCTTTAGGCTTGTTTTATTTAGGAGATTAGAAAGCTGAGACTTATTTGATTATCACTCCCTTTAACATAAATTTTTCCAGTGTTAGGTTTCCCTTGATTATATGATAGAAATGGAATGTTGCCTGGAGGTCTTTTGTTACTATTGAAATATTGAAGACTGCCCTAATCTCTGCCTTATGTAGCAGTGCAGTGAAACTGCTTTTGTTGTGGTGGCAGTTGCTGCTATTGTTCTGGAGAATGGTGGAAGGTTCCCAAGTGATTCACATTAACTTGCCATGCTGTAAACAAAACTCTTATTAAATTAGAAAAACCTATTTACTTACATGTCTTCAGGCAAAATATGACCTGTTTTCAAAGAATCTTCCCAAGTACAGACAATGCTAGTTTCATCTCTTAGTCTGTCACTCTGAATATGAGGCTCTGTGCTGAGTAATGGGGATGGCGAGGGGGAGAAGACAGCTCTTTCCCTCAAGGAAAAAGTAAAGTAAAAACGAATCAAATAACCCTGCTGCAGAAAAAATGACACAGCTTAATTTTCTCTGCATACTTATACATGCATAAAGACATGTATTCTAGCCGCAGCTGACATTAAATCATGAAATACTTGGTTATTGGATATGTGAGACACAGTGCGTGTCTTAGAATAACTGTTAGGAATATCTTGAGGTGTTATGTCTGCTGATGGAGGGAGGGTAGGAGAGAGTGAAGGGAGGAATTTGAATGGGATCAATGACTTGGAAGACAAATACTACTAGTGAGATATGCTCTGAAAGATAAGTTTTTATTATTACAATACTGCTTTTTCACCTACAATTTTATGAGTTACTGCTGAGAGAGTCTCTCTTTTCATCCTTGTGTCTGGTCTGTAAGGTCCCTGTCTGGAAAGGTATGCTAGCCGACTGTGATTGGTTGTCTGTATTTTAAGTGGAATTAGGAAAGTTAATTTGTACAGTTATGAATTCTCCAGTTCTGGGGACTGTAGGTCTTCTGCCCAAACACAGTGTAGACTTATCACTGGAACTCAGGAATATTTGGATCAGGGGACCTGTGGTGTGCAGGTTAGACCTTATCAGGTCTTCATGTAACAAGAAGCAAGATCAGTAAGCCTAAGGAGATCACTCCTGACACTTCAAAGACAAAGGTCTAGCTTTACATGTGGGTCAGATTGTTTACATGTGGTTTAGATTGTTTACAATCTAAAACTGTAATTAAAGACGAAGGTTCTTCATTTTCATGTTGTGTGTGTGCTGCATGCACGTGTGTATGGGTGTTGGGATGTGTGTGGATTCTCTTGCACATGTGCGAGTGCATGTGAAAGTCCACAGTTGATGCTGAGTATGTTCTTTGCACTTAACTTCCTGGGCAGGGTTTCTCAGTTGAGCAGTGCCCACCATGTGGCCAGTCTAGCAAGCTAGCTTTCCCTGGTGATGCCCTGTCTCTATCGGTAGAGCCCAGGGATTGCAGGCAGCACGTGCCTGCTTGCTTTATGTGCTGAGCCATTGCCCTAGTCCCAACCGTGAAGCTCTGATGGTGATTTACCCCGTGAGTAAGAAGACAATAAAACATGTTTTTAAAAAATGTGTTGTTGTTGAGTTATAACTCACATCACATAAAATTCACTGTCTTAAGTAAGAATGCAGGATTGGTTTGATTTTATTTACTTTTGTTCTTGTTCTTTTGATATATTTATAAGGTTGCATCAAATGCCAGCATGGATTTTTAGAAATTCCATGTCACCTAAACACTCTTTCTCAGTCGCCTTCTCTCTCCTCTAGTGTGAGTTAAATGACCAATACATATTTTCTTCTTTTGAATTTTTCTGCTTTAGAATTTCGTAAAAATAAAAAAAAACTGTTTTTAATTTGTTTAGACACTCCCAGAAACATCTTTGCCAAATTATGCCACAAATTTGAAAGACAAGAGTTCTTTAGTTTCATCTCTCTATAAAGTTATCCAGGAACCACAAAGTGAGGTAAGTACTTTACAGTGTGCATTAATAGTATTCACTTGATTGTTTTTATTTGATTATGAAATATAGCATACCTATGTAAGGTAAGAAAATATGTATGTTTGCAGAGCACTGTAAAACAGTAAAATGAATTTTAGTACACCCTTCTCCAGAACAAAAACTAGAATCCTTCTATATCCTCAAATCCATCTTTCTTGGCATTCTCCTTCTCTGTGTGTGTCTCTGACTCTCCATAGCCTTGAAAGGTCTAGGTCACTACAATTAATTTTTTTATTCAGCAAATATTTATGAACCTGCTATGAGTCATTATTGTGGTTAACATTCGGGGCTCAAAAACCGGTGGTGTGAGATATTAATCCTGAGAGAGAAAAGTGGAAGAGACTAAGCAGCCATGCCTAACTGACCCTTGATGCTATGGTTTGCATGTTTGTTCCTTTTAAAAATCATCTGGAAACTTCCTTCCCATTATAAAAAATATTAAGAAATGAGCCTGGGATACGATTCAATGGGAGAGTTTTTGCCTAGTATATACTAGGTCCTGGGCTCAGTTCCCAGGGTAAAGAGTGGGAGGAAAGACTGAGACAGTTGTAGGATTGGTGCTGTTCTCAAGGTGAGTTGGCCTCCTTAGCTTTCCTGCCCTTTTGTCTTCTGTTGGAGGTGATGCAGAAAGGAGACTCTTGGTCTTAGACTGCCCAGTCTGCAGAGCAGTGAAGGAATGCGTTCTCATAAATTACCAGGTCTCATAGCAACAGCAACAATGAAAAACAGACCATGGACAAATACAGATTTTCTGTGACAAATACAACAGATACTAGCAGCAGGGAAGTATAGGGAGACCAAGGAAATGCAAGGCATTTATTGAATGGTATAGTTTGGCCTTGCCAGTGCCTTTCCTCTGGGACTAGAGAGAGACAAAGCACTGAGGTAGATGGAAAGGAGATGAGTTGCATAATTTCTTTTGTTTTTGAGCTTAGGAAAGGATATGATAGGTTTTAAATCAACCTCAGTCTCTCTCTCTCTCTCTCTCTTTCTCTCTCTCTCTCTCTCTCTCTGTATATGTGTCTTTCTCTGCATCTCTCAGTCTTTCTGTGCCTCTGCCTTCCTCTGTATCTCTGTATATATCTCTGTCTCTCTGTGCCTCTGTCTGTGTCTCTCTGACTGTCTCTCTGTCTTTCTCTCTCTCTTCACTTTGTAGCCCTGGCTGTCCTGGAGCTCACTATGTAGAGTAGGCTGGCCCCAAATTCGTGGAGATCCATCTGCTTCCAGAGCATTGGTATTGCTGGCCACCACTAATATCTTTATTCAGTTCTAGGTAACATACTGCAGAGTCCCATCCTGCATGGATCCAAGGGCCTTTGCGACAAGACTGTACAAAGCAGGAGATTTTGTTATTTGAGTAATTAATTTATGTTGGAGTATAGACCAGCCCAGATCCTAGCTGTTATGCTGTGGAATGCAGTGTAAATGAGATGCTAGCAGGTTTAGGATTTTCCTGACAAGCCATCAGACTTCATCTGGAATAGCTTAATCAAACAGTTATGTTTACCTTGTCTTCTCTTCACCAACCTTCTTTCCTCTTGTTTCCTGGGGTTTCATGTTGCCGAGGCTTCCTTGACAAACAGTCCTCAACTTCCAATGAGCTTGGGCTACAGGTGTGTACCACCATATTTGCATAGCCCATTTTCTTGAAGGGTTTTGCTTTAAACAAATTTTCTTTTCTTTTTTTGAGATTATGATTACATCATTTCTCTTTCTTCTTTGTCCCTACAAACCTTCCCATATATACTTCCTTGCTCTTTTTTAAACTTGTAGCCTCTTTTTTATTGATTGTTACTTACATAACTGTATACATATGTGCATATATATTTTTCTCTAAATACATAAGTACAACCTGCCCAGTCTTTATAATGTCACTTGTATGTGTGTTTTGGGGACTGAATGTTTGGTGTTGAATAAACAATTTGTGTGTTCTTTCTTGGGAAGAACTATCAGAAAACCTCAACCAATCAAAGTGCAGAGTTGTGGCTCACAGTCCTAGTGGCTACACCTATAAAACACTCTGAACCTAGGGCTCAGGGAACACTGCAGAAGAGGAGCCAGAGGATCAAGAATTTGCTGCGAGGTTGTGTCTCGTAGTGATATCAAAGCTACACCCATAAGGCTCACCATCATGACTGCCAAACATGAGCAGAACAAGGACAGTGATAGACAGGCTAAAGTGGACAGGAGAAAGGCCAGGAAGCCACAACCCTACACAATAAGCTACAGGTAGCCAAGGATTTACGTTTTAGAAATTTCTGGATGCAATCTGGGAGTGGTGACCTAGGCTACTGTCTCAGCACCTGTGAGGCTGAGGTAGGGGTATTGTGAATTCAAGACCTGGGCTGCATAGCCTCACCCTAACTTTAAAAAAGAAAAAGGTGAAACATTTTTAAACATTCTCTGTTTGATTTAGAATTACTTCACCAAATAAAGCAAATGTAGGTTTTGCACATTTTTAAAAAATTAAATCTTATCATTTACTCGTTAATATTTTAAACTGCTTAAAATACGTTTCTGTCTGTCGTGTTTTGAGCAGGCTGCTGTGGGAAGCGTTCATAGGACCAATTTGTTTGGCTGTTTCAGTTTAGAGCATTCCTATTTAACTTTAAGGAATAAAGCTCTAACAGGTCAAAAACCAAGAACTTTTCCTTTTCACAGTTGTGACTCCCTCAAGGTAATTAACAGGCTCACCTGCTCCACCTTGCACATGTTCGCAGTGTACGTGAGGTACCATCCAACCAGACTGCAGGGTGCTCGGTGTGGCTGGTTACCGTCCCCCTGGCTGCTGTGACAATGGCATGCTCCTGACAGTTGAAATCTTTCCATCTCTGTGTTGCTAGGCACTGGGAACAGTGTGAGGATGCTCCGTGGCCTGTGCTCCTAGGAAGCACTGCTGTAGGATGCTCTAAGCTAGTTTTGCTTTGATTCTTATTAATGTGGGTGAGACACTGTATTCTGTGTGCTTAAATTATAACTTAGTCTTTCAAGTATTTTTAGAAGTGTTTCTGCAACATAACAGTGTAATTGACTTTAGTGTTGTTACTTTTTGTTTGCTTTTTAGAGTAGTTTGTCTTAATTTGGAAATATTCCCAAAGAGTTGATGCTGTCTTTTAACAATTTTGAAACAGACATTGATTTTGTTGATATTGATTTTGTTGGGACAGACATTGATTTTGTTGGTATTTGAAGTCTGACAAGTTTATCATTTGGATTTACTAATGGAATTTTTCCATTATTCAGTTAATAAATATTTAGTGAATGCACATGGTATATTAGAAGCTGCTAAGGAATATGGGCAAGAAAAAGTAGACCAAACTCATGGTCCTGTAACACAGAATTCATGTTCCAGTAGATGAGATAGGAAGTAAGCAGATACCTGAATGTACAGTGGTAGCGGTAAAGCTGAGGAGGAAAGTGTGTGTTGGAACTAAGGAAGTGACAGAGGGACACACACAAATTCATTTAACATATACATTTGTGGTATTGGCTTTTCTTAACAGTTCTTTAATAACCTAATGTGTTTGACAATGTTTCTGTGGGGAAATATATTCCAAAATATAACTGAGTCATTAGCAACCCAGCATGTTTAGTTGCATACCTAAAATGTACTAAATTATCTGTGCCTGTATCTCTCACAATTCATATTATCATTCTGTGACATTTCTAAGAGTCAGAAGATGTCTCCTTTCTGGCTCTTGTGAGTGTGTCCTGCCCATCATGGTACACTTCTTTGCAGGAAAAATATGCCAGCTCATTCCACTTACAGTGCAGTGGAAACTGACCATGTTTCTGTAGGAATAGTACTTTGCAAGCTGTGAAACAGCAAACCGATGTTGGTATTTATCTTTATTGGCTTCAAATGCATAATTTTATTTAATCACTTTGCAACATGATTTTTTCTTCTCTTTAAATCTGTCTTCATTTAATTCTGCTTTCATTAAGCAAAAATCCTTTTAATTTGAGATTTGAAACTGGTTCTAAAGAATTTGAGTGTGTTTTGATTAAAATTGATTATGTGTTCTTACAGAGTGTCTTGAATGAATTTCCTAGCAAGGTTCATAATTGCAAATGCTTGTTAAACTTACCAAGCTTCCTGAATTGATTCATTTAAAGCTTCTTGGGGGTTTGGAAATTCGAGTGTTGGGGCACACTGCAGAGTCCCTTGAGGCTTTTGTTTTGTTTGAGACAGTCTTACCTTTTGCCTTCTAACCACTATTGTGATATGGAAAATAAACCTGATGGAAGAGTAGCTCTCGGAATGTAGATGGTTTTCCTTTCTTCCTTCCTTCTTTCCTTCCTTTTTTTGTTTTGATTTGTTTTGGTTTGGGTTTTTTGTTTGTTGGTTTTCCAAGACAGGGTTTCTCTGTGTAGCCCTGGCTATCCTGGAACTCCCTCTGAAGGCCAGGCTGGCCTCAAACTCAGAGACCTTCCTGTCTCTGCCTTGATTACTTGGATTAAAAGTGTGCACCACCACCTTATAAACAGACTGCTTGTTTGGTTTTGTGCCTGTCTGTGTGTCCTGTCCCACCCCTGGATGGGAGCCACATTTCCAGCCCTGTTTCTAGGAGAGGCTAGTTGGACTTTAGCCAAAAACGTTTGACCTATTACTTAGTTTACTTATTTAGTGTACCTGGAATTTAGACTCTTCATTGGTTTCTCTTTGCTGCAATTATTGGTCACAGAAATCTGCTTGTTATCTTGATTTAGTCTGCTGTCTGTTAATGAAATTAACTTTAAGTAACACTTGAGAGATGTGAGAGCCTAGCCGAGAAGCAGAGCAACATGAGTTGAGTAACAGTACTCGCTGAAAGCTGTAGAGTCTTTCTGATGTGGTATACTGTCCTGCCACTAGAATTTAGAGCTTTCTGAAAAACTGGGCAGTGACTGGTTTTGCTTCAGGAAAATTAAAGCATTTGTGTATCTCAGACTTAAGCATTCTGAGAAACCTTGCATGATTCATAGTGATGTCGTAGTTCACATGTGCCATGTCATCTTCCTCCAGTTGCTCGAGCCCGTGTGTCACCAGCTCTTTGAGTTCTACCGCAGCGGGGAGGAGCAGCTGCTGCGGTTCACTTTGCAGTTCCTCCCGGAGCTCATGTGGTGCTACCTCGCCGTGTCGGCCAGCAGAAGCGTGCACAGCAGTGGCTGCGTCGAGGCCCTTCTTCTAGGGGTCTACAACCTGGTTTGTATTTGCAGATTAACAAAGCGCTGCTTTGGAAATTTGCTTTTCAGTTTAGCAAAAGCACCATTCTACGGGTATTGGGGCACCCATATAGTTCTCTAAACAAATTTTTATGGGTTGAATGAAAGTCAGAGCATTTAAGTTTTCTTATAGAGATAATAATAATACTACCACCAGTGGCGTTTTATTTTATCTTTTTTAAGATGGTGTCTCACAGCATAGCCCTGTCTGGCCTGGAGCTTGCTGTGTAGAACAGGCTGGCCTCAAACTCACAGAGACCTGCCTGTCTTTCAAATGCTGGGATTAAATGTGTGTGCTGCCATGTTTAGTTACTACTATTATATCTAAATTTTTGAACTTGATATCTTTAAGTTTATCTATAAGCTGTCTGGTTTTTACCTTCACAAAAAAGTCAGTAGAAGACCTCTGTAAAATTCCCTAGTCAGCCCTTGGAAGTCCCCACTGACTCCTGGGTATGTGCCTTCCATTTAACAGTTTGTGTGACTCAGCTTGAGCATCAGTTATGAGGTGACATTCCAGATACTTATGGTTTGTGTTCTTTAAGATGGAAAGGAAAGGTGTGGTCCTTCTGTAGATGCACCTCATGTTTAATTGCCTTAGAGTGTGTGACTCGCTGGTGAAGAACAATCACTATGCTGTCTGTGCCGCAGCCATCCTGAAAACAATGGAACTATAATGTAGGTGCTGTTTTCCATGCTCAACTGCAGTGCTCTGCTTGGCTTTTGTTCAGAAAATGCAGCAGTGCACGTTAACTTCTGATCCTTATGGGTTTTTGATAATGGATTACCAATGTTAAAGATTTTTAACTGACTTTAAAATTCCTTTTATTCTGGTCTTTAAAAGTTTGTCATATATGGAAAAAAGGGAAGGGAGAGATGTTGTAATTAATATTATAGTCTCAAAAAAATTAAACCTGGAAAAATTGTCCTAATAACTTTATTTTTTAAATGTTATATATAAAAGGTGATTATTTTAAGATATTTTCTTTTACTTTTATAGGAAATAGTTGACAAACAGGGACATAGTAAAGTATTGAGTTTTACAATTCCATCTTTATCCAAACCATCTGTATATCATGAAGTAAGTAGCTTTTTATCAAAGTAAATTTATTGGGTCCTAAGCTCTAATAGCCCCCTAAATTAGGGTGTAGTTACCTGTGCATAAAAGTGAATTAGTAGTACCTCAAAAGGTACTGATTTTTGCCACACAGATTATTTACTGTTCCAAAAATTAAGTAAATTCAAATCACTAAGCATTGAACTGAGATCTGATAATGAGAGCTTTATTGAAAGGGTTTTTTTTGTTGTTGTTGTTTTTTGTTTTTGTTTTGTTTTTTTTTTTTTTTACATCTTTGTATGATGGGTAAGACTCACCTTAATTAGTGGGTCTGTGGGCAGGGGAGTGGGGAGTAGAAGATATAAAAATACCTTCTTTTTTTCAGACATTTTTATTTTTGTGTATGTGCATGTCTATTATGTGCTTTATGGTAGAATTTTAGAAATTAAACTTTTCTTTCCATTTGTGGTTTAGTTTTTAAATTTTATTAAATCTTGGAGTGGAAATTTGATAGGCAATCTGGATATTCCTAAGCTATCTGGTGCCCCTAGTAAACACTTTCCATGTGTTGTGTATGTAAATGTCACTTTTAACAGAACGGCGTTCTTTCTTTCTTTAGCCTTCCAGCATTGGGTCTATGGCTCTGACTGAGAGTGCGCTGTCCCAGCATGGCTTATCCAGAGTTGTGTACAGTGGGCCCCATCCTCAAAGGGAGATGCTGACAGCACAGAACAGGTATACTGTGGAGGCCCAGTTCTTCTCCTCTGACACAGAGTTGTTTAAAAATTATTTCAGTCTAGTGTATAGGGTAGTGTATAGTGTTTAATGAGTTAAATGTAGCACATGTAGATACTGAGTCATGTTATAAAAGAATGAGACATATCCAGATTTGTCCTTGTACTTTGCTCCAGGCATTATCTGGAACATTGAATTTTTATGATGTGTGACTTGCAAAGACTTCTTTTTCCTTTGTGTTTTCCTTACTGTGTTTGTAATGTGTAATTCTCGTTCTGTTGCATAATATCTGATAACATGCCTTTGCTTTGTCTTCAGGTTTGAAGTATTGACATTCCTTTTGTTGTGTTATAATGCTGCCTTAACCTATATGCCCAGTGTTTCTCTTCAATCACTGTGTCAGATTTGTTCAAGGTAAATCAAAATTCCTATGTTTCCCATATTGGAGTATATGAATGTAGGATGCTAGTTTATTGCATACCCAAGTTATTTTTGTTTTGTGTGTTTGTTTATTTAAAACATTACATAAGTCAATATACAGTTCAACTCACCCAGCACATAGAAGGTGGCCTAAAAATAGTAGCTACCAAAAAACCATGATGTTGAATATCCATCTGAGTAATGTTTGGGGAGAATAGTAAATTAGAAGGGGTTATGTTACATTTAAAATCATGACATAGTCATAACCTTTTAATTTGTGGAATGTGATGGGTATTTCCTTTTATCTGTTTCCTTTTATCTGTGTTTAGTGTGTTCTAGTTTGGTGCCAAAAAATAAGAGAAACATGGCATCATTTTTCTTCCTTTAAAAAAATAGAGGTAAGGGGAGGAGGACCTCCTGCATCAGTGGACTTGGGGAGGGGCATGGGAGGAGAGGAAGGAGGGAGGGTGGGATTGGAAGGGGATGAGGGAGGGGGCTACAGCTGGGATACAAAGTGAATAAAATTTATTCAGTTAGTAAAAAATATAAAAATAAAGTGCTCTGGTGTTTTAAAAAATAGAGGTAAAGTTTGATTGGTAGCATTATAAAATAACTTTATTTTCCTTTCTGATATTCCTAGATTCTCTAGTTTTCTGTGGTTAACATTTTTTAAACAATAGACAAAACAGAGTCAAAACAGACAAAACTAAGGTTTTTACTTTTTATAAGTCAAGGAAGTAAGAGACATTATGGAGTTAAAGAAGTTAGGTGGAGATTCATATTTGAGTAATTTATTCAGGCAAAAGAAGGGCAAGATGGCTAACTTTTTTTTTTCTTTTTTATTATCATTTATTACAATCTATTCAGTTTGTATCCTGGCTGTGGCCCCCTCCCTCATTCCCTGGGGATCCTGCCCTCCCTCCCTCATCTCCCATGTCCCTCTCTTAGTCCACTAATAGGGGAGGAACTCCTCCCCTTCTCTGTGACCCTAGCCTAGCAGGTCTCATCAGGACTAGCTGCATTGTCTTCCTCTGTAGACTGGCAAAGCTCCAACCCCCACTGGTTAACTTTTTTATTGCTGTGGCCAAATCCTGACAAAAGCAACTTAAGTAAGAAAGAAGAGTTTATTCCAGCTCACACTTGGGGAGTCCAGTCGGTGCTGACAGTCGAGAAAGGCATGTGCTGAGGTTGGCTCTGGCTGTGGGCCGCCTGCCACGCTGCCTCTGCGGTTCGGAAGCAGACCCACCCCAGCCCATGGTACAGCGCTGCCCATATTCAGGGTGTCTCTCTCCTCCCACTGTTAAACCTCTCTGAAAGTACCTCAGAGACATGCCTCGGACCCTGTTTCCTAGGTGATTCTGAACCCTCAGGCTCCGTGTAAAAAGAATCTTTTACTGAAAGGTCCTGTGACCCTGTACTACCACCCCACCCCCACACTCCCAAGTTCCTTGTCTCCTCTTGCCACCCCTGAAGCTGGTTCACTGAAGAGCTTCGCTCACAGTTCTCCCTCACCAGCCTGTGGGCCCCTGTGTTTAGTTTCTTTCCTCCGTCCTCAGTCTCTTGTGAGCTTTGTTCAAATGAGAGAATGAACTGAGGACCCCTCTTTTCACAGTGGTCTCCATGGTTAGCGTATTGTGTGGTAAAGGTGAAAACTAAGGGCAGGAAGCCCCTCAGTGTCCCTTTTAAAATGAGTCTTCTTAGTTTGGTATCGCAGTTTTGTAATGTTTACACAGAATTAAAGGTTTTATTTCACATGCAGCTGTTGTTTCTGTTTCCCTGCTTACCTTTTGTTCTTGGTTCTAACAGTTTTGAGTTTCTTTCAATGTCAAATGAGCATATGTTTATGCTTTAAAGGCCTTTTAAGAAAATATTTTTGTGGCCTGGAGAGATAGCTCAGCAATTAAAGAGTGCTCATTGCTCTTGTACCCACATAGGATGGCTCACATCCACCTGTAACTCTAGTTCCAAAGGATCCAAAACCCTTTTCTCGCCTCCTGAGGCACCCACACATACATGTCCATACGCACACAGAGACGCGCATACACAAAAATTAAAAAAGAAGGAATTTTTATATCTTCTTCCATGGTAGGCATGTGGAAGATGGAGGGCGACGCTCGGGAGACAGTTCTCGCTCCCTCTTGTGGGATGCTGGGATTGAACTCAAGTTGTCAGGCTTACTGATGAGTCTCCACTAACTCAGCCCTCAACAGCTCCAGGCAGGGATTTTGAACAAGGGAAAAAGATTTTTTTTGGCTGGTAGTGAAGGCTTCAGGAGAGGCCAATTGCAGTGTATTGATTAATGCTGCATCAAGTGGAGGCTGAATCAGTCACAACACAAAATGAAAAAGCAGCCATTTAATGGCAAATGAACTAAAATTAGAAACTTCTTGTTTGTCTTCCAAGTTTATGTTGGTGATAAACATTTTAGGAGATACAGGTAAGCACAAGGAAGGAAAATAGGTGTGTAATTCTATAGAGCAACAATAACTATGACTTTATATGAGAAATACTATACAGCTATTTATTACAAGCTGGGCTGTGCTCCAGCTTGTGTGTTGATTTTGCAGTTCCATGCAACCTCCATCATTTAGATAGACACTCCTCCACACACACTGGGGCTGAAACTCAGGGTTTCATACGTGCTAGGCAAGCACTCCTCCACCAAGCTACATGTCCAGCCCGAAAGAGATTTGTGTTTGGTTGGTTTGGGTTTTTCTCAAGACAGAATCTCACTGTGTAGCTCTGGCTGTCCTGGAACTCACCATGTAGAGCAGGCTGACTTTGAACTCACAGAGATCTACCTGCCTCTGCCTCCCAGGTGCTAGGATCAAAGGTGTACATTCTTACATCTGTCAGGAGCATTAACATTTTTTATCTGTCTAAAATTTATTATGGATATTTCATGAAACTTGAGTCTGAGTTATAGTGATTTTTCTGACATTGCAGTTTATACAAAGAATATAATCAGGAACTAAAGATTATACTAAAGATCTGTTGATGATAAATTCCATGTAATGTCCCCAAAATTATTGATAATTGACTTGATCAAAATTAGTAAATCAACCAGTGAGTGTGTGATTCACCAACTGCACACACGCTTGCCTTTGGCTTTACAATCTTTTCCCAGTATAACATACTCAGGAAGTGTTACAGGCAAATGTTCTGTTTGGGATATTGTTTTATAGGTACTAGGTTTGTTATTTTTATCATTGCTCATAAATATTAGAAAAGTGTCTGCACTGAACAAACATGTTTATTTTGATTATTTCCAGAGTCTGTGTCTGTGGATACCCCCGACAACATGTAAGGAAATACAAAGGCCTAAGCAGCAGGATACCGATTTCATCTGGCTTCATGGTGCAGATGCTCACAGGAGTCTACTTTGCCCTGTAAGTGTGTCTCCCATACAGGGCGCACTGTTGCTTCTTTGGAACGTTAGAGCTTGTCAGTCTCTGTAACAATATAATCTCAATCTATAAACAATCATCATATTTTTATGGAAGAACAGGAATCAAGTTCTTAATAGTTTGGTCATTTAAAAATGAATAAGTTGTGCAGAATTTCAAACTAACTAAAATACTTCATCATTTTTTAATTCACAGTCAGAATGAAAATGGATAAAATGTGAATATGCAGTTCTTCTGCATATGGCATTTTTTGCTATGATTTTCAAATTGGATTTTTTTTAATTCCAATGAATTTTTTGTTTCTCGAAATTTTAACTCTTAAAAAGCATTTTAGAGCATCTTCGAGCAGAAATTTGTTAATTTATTAATTACCAATATTGGTGTTTAGTCTTATGTAGTAACTTAGGTAACAGTATATATTTGAATTCTGTCTTGTAATTCTCATGTGACACAGATGATGAGGCACTTTGTATTATATTCACTTGATACTTTAATATACCCTGGTAGAGCAGAAGCTTCTTGACGGAGGGAAGAAGGGTTTAGGGGCCAAATCTGGGCTGAACCTTGTAAAGTTTTACTGAGGCACAGTTGTGTTCACGTGTTTGCACACCAGCTGTGGCTGCCTTCCTGTTTCAGTGGAAGCAAGCACTGAGTAGTTCTGATAGAGAGGCATGTCCCATAGTTTAAGAAAACGCTGGGTTTAGGGGGGTTGGGGTGGTTGTTGTTAGAGACAGCATGGCCTTGAATTCCTGATACTATCAGCTTTTCCTCAGAGTCTTTATAGATGTGTGTCAGCATGCCTAGCTCTGAAAGACTTGTTTATCCCCCTTAAAAAGAGCTCTGCTATGCTTTGTCTTAGATTGTCAGTATTGCCCCACAGGGCTTGGATGCTCCAGGTTTTTCTTCTTGTTTCATTTTGAATGTCTTCTGTTGGTCTGCCTCCACATCTGACTTACCTTTCCCTTGACTTAGAATTGATCTTTCAAGGTCGTTGGAGGTTTTTCATTTTTTACTGTGTTTTGCTTCTATTCTTTTTGTTCTGTTCTTTCTTATAGAGCATATGCCTTCTGAAATCTGAATTTATTTGTGTACGTTACCAGTTTTTTCCACGAGAGCATTTAAAATACTGATCATAGTAATTTAAGTTACCCTGATAGCCTCAATATTTGGGTCACCTCTAGATTTAGTTCTTTTATTTACCTACTTACTTAATTACTTACTTACTTATTTTCTGTGATACTGAGATTGAACCCGGTATCTCATACAAGTACTCTTTCACTTATCTGTATCTCTGGCCCTGAATTGGGTTCAGTTAATTACTTCATTTATTGATGGGGTTCCTTCTTCTTGCTGATAGTAAGCCTTGTAATTTTTGATTGCTTAAGATTTCACTCAGTAGTAAGGTAGTAGAAACTGATGTAAATATGATTTATGCCTGAAATGAGAATGATTCTTTATCTAGGATACTAATGAAATTTTGTACAGAGTTGTTAGAGTCCCTGCAGCCTTAACAAGAAAAAAAAAAAAAAAAACTGAAAAAGGAGTTCTACACAATGTAGCCATAATGAGAGAGGAGCAGATTATAGACAACAAAAGGAATACACAGCTACAACCCACCCATCATGGGTCCATCATCGTCTCTTTCCAGTCTCTCTTGCCAGGTATGGTGACAGGTTGTCAGACAGTTGACTTGTATTTCTGGAAGACAAGCTCCCTCTCTGGCAGGCTTTATAGCCCCAGTCCTTATCTTCTTCTAGCGTGAGACTCTTAAGAAAATCACAGTTTCTTGGGGTCCGCAGCTTCAATGAGGTGATAGCCAAAGGGAGGGACACAATAGGTAAAAGTAACTTTTATTCACCTGGCTTGTTGTCTCTGAGGCTTACTGCCTCGGCTACTAGGCCTAGACCTGGACTCTTCTAGTCTCCATAAACTCTAATCGAGGCCTAGAATTTTAGCCTCTGAGGCTTACTACTGAATGTACTCACCCTTTCTAGTTCTTTCTGAACTCTTGTTGGCTGGTTCAACTCAGCTGTTCTGGCACAAACTCCTCTCCTAGTTGACTGATTCAGTCTGGCTTCTTTCTTGGCCTCTGACTGAATTGCTCTGCTTGGCCTCATACCAACTTTGGCAATCTGTGCTAATCTTCTGGCTCCTTCTTACGCTCTGGCTGGTTCTGTCTTCCCCTGTGTCTAGCTTTACAATTCTCCCGGTAAATCTGCCTCTGAATTCCATGAACTGAACTGCCATGAACTTAACATCATTGCACTGCCTCTCAATTCATTCACTCAACCAGAATACCTGAGTAGCACTGACGAGAACTCAAGAGATCTATTTGCCTCTGTCTCCTGGATTAAAGGTGTGTCTGTATTCCAGCTGGATCACACAGACCTAGAAAGTCTTTGGATGTGATCTCTTGCCAAAGCAGCCATGTTCTGAATTAAAATTCCTCTATACAAGTGTCTCTCTTTGCTCTTGCCAGGATGGTTTCAGCGGGGTTGTGTTACTGTTGCCATAGTAACAGTGAGGTTAACCACTACAAATCCCCCTATTCTTACCTAGTATTCTGGGAGGGAGCTGGGCTTCTGATGAGTTTCTCCTTCTTCAGTTTTCTCTGTATGCTGATCCCTCAGAGAGGGTTTCTTCCCCCATTTCCTAGAACCCCATCATCAGCAATAGAATGTTGTTCCTAGTTGGTCCTACCCCTCAGCTACTGCAGCACTCTGGAGAGCAGGCCCTGCACCTTGCCTAGGAAGCACAGTAGAGCTGGCCCTGGTGGGGAGGGGGAGTGTGGGTGAGCATAGGAGAGCTGGCCTCACCCCGTGCTGGCGCAGCATTGGGTGAGCTAGCCAGCACAGTGCTGGAGAACTGGCAGGCTGACCAACTCAGCTACCTCCCAGGCCCAGATCTCCAGGACTATTAGCTGGCCCACCCCAACATCTACCATCTGTGGACTGCTGGAGCTCATGAAGGGGCTTGTCCTGAAGATCCAAAGCTGCAGGATCTCCATGACAAAGGGCAACAACAGGATCTCTGAGAGGAGTCTCGATGAGGATCCAGTACTGACAGTGTAGCAGAAGCCAGAGGCCTCGAACCAGACCAGTAATTCATTGCAATGAACATTTGCAAGTAAAGATGTGTGGACAGAAGGCTATACTACTGTGTGACACACTGCAGGTTCCATGATGAGATGGGGGGTTTTGTTCATTTGGTTTTGGTTTTTCTGGGGTTGGTTTGTTTGGTTTTTGGCTTTTTTTTTTTTTTTCTTTTGGAGGGACGGTTGCAAGGACAGGGGCCAGATACAGAGGGGAGGGAGATGATTGGAATTGGGGTGCATGTTATAAAATTCACAAAGAAACAATAAAAAGTTTAAAAAGTTGTTTCTAATTTCTCAGTGTATCCTAGCTTGATGGTGATGAGGGTGGAATGTCAGCCAGTGTTCTCTGTTGTCCTCATAGCCTGTCAATGCTAGGCAGATTCCTTGTCCTTAAATGCTAGGGCTGGGATGTCCTCAGTGACCTTGCCTCTCTTTCAGAAGTAGAGAACCCCTAGTTATCTCAGCATACAATGAGGTTTATATTCCCCTTTTCCCTTCAGAGCCGCAGTGCCTGAAGCTATGGGCTGGGGGTAACAGAGTAATAGGATTGGCTATTCTCTCCCCAAAAGCTGTAGAACTTTTGTTCATATGAAACAAGTGTCTGAGCCAGATGTGGTGGCACACGCCTTTATCCGGCACTCAGAAGGCAGAGGCAGGTGGCTCTCTGTGAGTTCATGACCAGCCTGGTTTACAAAGTGAGTCCAGGACAGCCAAGGCTACACAAAGAAAACCCTGTCTCAAAAAAAAAAAAAAAAAAAAAAAAATGTGTCTGGCAGGCCTATGCTTTTCCCATGGCAGTGGCCACTCTTCTTCAAGACTGCACCAGCAAGGGCCACCTTTTCTGTCCCCCAGTCTTGCTTCCCATGTTTTTTGTGTCTATTTACAGGAGGCGTGGGGGAAGCCTCTGGGGTGATAGGAACTGCCCATGTGTATCATGTGTATGCTCCAGAGCCAGCTGCATACTGGGCTAGATCGTGTTAGAAAGCTTGGTTGAATTCTCACCATTAGATGCCCTATGGCCCTCTTCTTTGGAGGGGTTCAGACTGTTTGGTTGCTGTCCCTTAGGACAGCCAAGGCTACCAGAGAAACCCTGTCTCGGCGGCCAGAGGGATGGATTTTGAAGATAACCTGGGCCCATCCTGGCCTTTCCCGATGAGCATCACTTGTGCTCTTCATGTAATTCACATTTCTTTATTTTGTTGAGAGATGACCAAGCCATTATATTTTTGTTGACTTGTATCACTCAGGCCGTTTCTAGGAAGGGTTTGGTAGATCATGGAAAGTTAAACATATGAAATATGCCCAAGCTGAATTTGTTCTCTCATGTTTGCAGCAGGCTTTTTGTTCCTTCCTTTCTAAGTGGCTATCAGAATGCCAAGGAGCAGCCACTTAGGAGAATGGGTCGGGTTGGGTTCTCAGTAAAGCCATGGGAACTACAGAGTAATTTGACCATAAATTGTTTGGAAAATTACTCTCAGTGTACAATTTATTATGTTCTGAGTTGCTGTGACAAGATGCTTTGAATTGCCTTAGCTCTTTGATTTCTAGTCTATAAATAGTCATGTTCCTTAGAGAAGAAATGTACATGTATAAAATTTTCTTTGCTATTAGTATTCTTTCAGATAATAGGAACTTGATGATTTAAAAATACATTTTTAAGGAGAATTGAATGTTAAGCAATGTGCTAATGTGGTCTGTTGCTTTCTTTAGTAGAGATAAATAGTTCCCCATTATGTTTTGTTCCGTTACATAGGATAAACTAAAAATAATACTTTCTTTGTTTAACTCTCATCACTTTGTAGATATAATGGAGAATGGGATCTAGCTCAGAAAGCATTGGATGATATTATCTACAGAGCCCAGCTAGAGCTATATCCAGAACCACTTCTGGTAGGTTCTTCACTTAATTATGTAAATCTTAACTTAATAATTTTTCAGCTTCGGCTATCCATTGAGAAGTAATTCATGCCATATGAAAATGGTATCAGTCCTTAGAGGTTTGTGCTTTCTTGTACTGGGAAGTATCACATGTAAAAGCACTGGTAGGAAATGTGGAGGTTTTATTAAACTGCTTTAGGTATTAACTGAGAGTACACTCTTCTGTTTATAAGAATTTCAGCGTATGAGATTCACTTGTCAACCAGCATTTGAAATTGAGGAGACCTGATTTAGTATTTAATAGTCTCATGCTTCATCCCATTGACATTGTTTGAACTATGAGCGTACTTCTTACCTCTTACTCCTTATTTGGGAGTGTTTGTGGATCATTGCTTTAAAATACCTTGGAGAAAACACTCTTTTTATAAATCTAAAAGTAAATAATACATCTGTTTACTGATCTTAAACTTTACTTTTCCTTTTAGGTTGCTAATGCAATAAAGGCTTCATTGTCTCATGGTGCCATGAAATCTAGTAAGGAAGGCACAAGGTGTATTCAAGTTGAAGTCACACCAACTTCCTCTAGAATATCAAGAAATGCAGTTACCAGCATGTCAATAAGAGGTCACAGGTGGAAAAGACATGGTAAGGACTGCTCAGGTTCAAGCACTGGTGGCTCCCTCACATGTCTCCTTGCAGTTGTGGTGTTCAGATTTGTAACTTTAGGAAATAGCACCATCACAGCCTGGAAAAGGAAAACTCTAGTCCATCATGTTTAACTCCTAGGTTCTCATCCAGGGACAATGAATGAAGCTTCTTAAGTTAGATATGTGAATGAAGACTTATTTAAAGTTGTATGTATTGTAGGAAAGTAAGAAAATGCATTTTAATTACTCATATACCTTAAGTTGCTGGTCTCAAGTATGTATGTAGTCCTTAATGGATGTTCTTACTCCTGTCAGGCACTTAGCATGCAAGTTTTTCGTGTTGGAGTAGAACTAACCACCAGGACCTTGCATTCTGTCTGGACTCCCTGGAAAAGAATGCCATGCTGTCACTACGGCACTACGCATTTCTATCTTACAAATGTATTTCATTCAAGATTGTATTAGTATTCCTTCTTATCTGCTTTATTTTATTATTTTAAAATGTTGCTGGAAGTTAATTTCATTTGCCATGCCAACTTTATGCTTTCTCATTTCTCTTGCTTCTCTTTTAATCTACTTCTTGTTTCATTCCTTCTTCCTTTTATAACTTCTCTCCTATCTAGCAGTTATGGTAGCAAGAAAGAGGGTTAATACCACTGTTCTCAAAAGTGACCTTTGCATGGGAGGCAGAAAGCCACTACTTTGCCCCAAGTGAGCAGGGAGCATGTGTGCCAAGGGAGAAACCAGCTCTGCTTTCTTCCTTCTCTGCGCTGCAATGAAAATGGCAGCTCAACTTGGTAGACTGTGACTCCTGTCTGTGCTCCCTATGGTCCACAGAGAAAACGAGAAAGAAAAGGATGAATCACAGATCATAATGCAGAAAGCCAATCCTGACTGAGAAGGCTTGCCATTTTCTCTCAGACATGCAAAGAGAGAATGTGCCAAAAAAGAATAAGGGTGATGTTATACAGTTTAACCAATGATCATTGTTGATCCTAAGTTACTGTAACAAGTCCTGAAGTCCAACAGGGAGGCATAAAAGAGATGGTAATGTTTGCTATTAGGCAAATGCAAACTCCATTTACACATGCCAACCCCAAACATACTTCAGTTCCTTCAGTGACGTTATGCTGTTAAATGAGAATATACTACAGAAAAAAAAAAAAGATAATTTAACAGATGTCCAGCATCACTGTGTGAAAGCAGGTTGCAGATGTGACAAACCAGGCCATAATGGCCACTGTGGATGCAATCACTTCTAAACTACCGCTTCAGAGAAATGCCAGGGCAAGTTCTGATTGTTTTCCTACCTTCCCTTCTTGCTGTTCAGATTGGAAATCAAGGGAGGGCAAGTTGTGGAATGTACAAGTCAAACATGAGAAATATTGACGCTCCCTAGTGTGTGTGGGTTTCTGAGAAAAAGATACATATCCTGAAACAAAAAGGAAGTTAATTTTTCAGAAACATTTTATTGCAAAAAATGACGACAAAAAAAAGATGCCTTCAATATATGTAGACTACTTATATATATTGAAGGCATCTGTGATGCCTTCGTGGATCTAGATTCCACTGTGATTGCTGCTTTCAGGGTTTGTACTCTAGCTCAGGCCACGACTTCATTGAAATAGCTTTATGTTGATGCAGCCATCACAGTACTTGAGCACCTCTTGTTTATGACAGCAAAAATGTTGTAAATGAGGATATACAAGAGAATGAACGAAAATGAATAAATAAATAAACACCCAGCATGCTTCCCCAGGCACACACACAAAATATGGGTTAGCCTTAGTTGTCACTTCCTGGAGTGTGAATTTCTCTTATCCACTGGACTATAATAAAATGACACTTGCTTAGTCATACTTGTCTCTATAGGGAGGCCACAGTATCCTTTTTAAGAGTAGTTGGAAAAAAAAAGAGTAGTTGGTCTTAATTTGTTTCTATTGCTCTAACAAAATGCCCCAAACACCTCCCACTAGACTCCACCTCTCACACTGTCACACTAGGAGACTCGAATCCTCAACCTGTTTCGAAACCTCACCTTCCCAGAGAAGCATCGTTCATGAATTTACCATGCTCAACACTTCTCTGTATCCTTTTGTTAATTACAGATTGTGATGTGATTTTTTTTGGCCTGGATATATTATTGTTCTGGCTTTCTAGCCAGCACTGGTTTCTTGTGGAGAAGATGGTTATCATTGTATACTTCCTAAATATATAAACAGTTCTTCAATTTAAAATAGATTTAAAATTGTCTTTATGTGTAAAATTTTATGTATTCTATTTATGTAACAAAATATAAGTAAAACTTTTTTTTAGAAATAGTGTGAAAGGACTTATAGATTCCAGGGTGAACCACAGTGGCCCTGCTGTATGCTCATGTTTCTGAAGCCTGGTGCTATGGAGGTCACTGCAGGTTATGACTCCGCAGACACTAAGAGTCCCTGTGTGTGATGGAATCCTAAATAAGCTTTCCTTTCAGCTCATCTCCCAAGCCTGACACAGCCAGTCCCATGGGAGGGCGTGTTCCTCTCTACACCCTTCACCATGTGACGCAGTCAGACTAGGAGTTTGTAGCCCTGTGCTCATGGTGATGGAGCCTGGGAAAGAAGGCAGGAAAAGCAACATCGATTTTAAGGAATGTTCTATTTTTCCTTCTTGACTCCTTTTTCTTTTTCCACGTGTGACAAAGACAAAGCAATTCTTTTCTGTTGAGCTTTGTCTTATTTATTTATTTATTTACTTACTTACTTATTTGCTATGAAGAGGCACCATGATGAAAGCAACTTATGGAAGAGAGAGTTTATGGGAGCTTGCACTTTCAAGGGGCTGGAGTTCATGGTCATGGGGCGCGTGGCAGCAGGTGTGCAGCCATGGCCCTGGAGCAGGAACTGAGCGCTCATCCTCCATCCACAAGCCAGAGAAACAAAGAAAGAGCTAACTAGGAACGGCACTCATAATCCCAAACAATTCCACCAAATATATGAACCTATTGCATCCATCCTTTCTTCTTCTTAATTTTTTATTGATTCTTTGTGAATTTCACATCAGGCACCCCAATCCCACTCATCTCCCTGCCCCTTCATATCTGCCCTCTGTCCTGTCCACCTACCCCCAAAGAAAACAAAACACACTAACTAAATAATTCAAACAAGCAAACAAAAAAACACATTCGCCAATTGAAAACTCGGCAGTTACTGTGGCAAATGCCCTAAAAAAAGAAAGTTAAGGAAAAAGGGAGTTATTTTGGCTCACAGTTTGAGGGTACATTCACCGTGATGGGTAGTCAAGGCAGCAGGCATGCAAGGCAGTTGCTCACATTGTGTTCCCCAATTAGAAAAAAGAGAGTGAAGAGCACACTTACCTTCTCCATTTTATACAGTCTAGAATCTCAGTGCAGGGGTGCTGCTACCCAGAGTCGGTGGGTTCCCCCGCCTCTGCCAACCTACTGAAGACAATGCCCCATGAGCATCTGTCAGACAGCAATGTCCCAGGTGATTCTAGAGCGCATCAAGTTGACAGTTATGACTAAACCATGTGCCGTTTTCCCTTTTTTTCTCTTGCACTTATTTATTCTTACTGCTTTTTTGTCCTCCCCCCTCCCTTTCCTTTATACCTGATAGAAGATTGGGTGAGCGTCCCCCAGTGAGGCAGGCAGGCAGAACTTCCTGTGTAACTTTTCTTTATCATTCAAGGATGTAGAAAAGTAAGCCATGTAGGTGCAGTGGTTTGTGTATATATCTGCGTCATCAAAGATTATAACACAGCAAACAAATACATTCAGTTTTAGCAGTTCATCACGTTGATTCTTCTACTATTAGTATAAATTATTCTCCTAGTCTAAACCCATGTTCTGTTTTTTATCATTAATTTTGGACAATTTTAATTACTTATAACTAAGTACTTTTGAACTGTTCTAGAATGTATGTCAGGATTCTCTGAAACATCATGAGTGTGGCATTCTTTTGTTTTTAAAATTTTTTTATTATTATCATTTATTACAATTTATTCAATTTGTATCCCGGCTGTGCCCCCCTCCCGCAGCTCCTCCAATCCCACTCTCCCTCCCCTAGTCCACTGATAGGTGAAGTCTTCTTTCACTTCTCTTTGACCCTAGCCTATCAGGTATCATCAGGAGTGGTTGCACTGTCTTCCTCTTTGGCCTGGCAAGGCTGCACCCTCCAGGGGGAGGTGATCAGAAGACTGTCACTGAGTTCATGCCAGAAGTTAAACACCAACAAACCAAGTAACCCAATTAAAAGATGGGGTACAGAGCTAAACAGAGAAATCTCAGTAGAGGAATATCAAATCACAGAGAAACACTTAAAGAAATGTTCAGTGTCCTTAATCATCAGGGAAATGCAAATCAAAACGACCCTGAGATTTTACCTTACACCCATCAGAATGGCCAAGATCAAAAACTCAAGTGACAGCACATGCTGAAGAGGATGTGGAGAAAGGGGAACTCTCCTCCATTGCTGGTGGGAATGTAAACTTGTACAACCACTTGGAAATCAATCTGGTGCTTTCTCAGAAAATTGGGAATAGTGCTACCTCAAGATCCAGCTATACCACTCCTAGGCATATATCCAAAATATGCCTAACTATACAACAAGGACATTTGCTTAACCATGTTCATAGCAGCTTTATTTGTAATATCTAGAATCTGGAAATAACCTAGATGTCCCTCAATGGAGGAATGGATACAGAAATTGTGGTACATTTACACAATGGAATACTAATCAGCTATTAAAAACAAGGAAATCATGAAATTTGAAGGCAAATGGTGAGAACTAGAAAAGATCATCTTGCGTGAGGTAACCCAGAAGCAGAAAGACACACATGGTATATACTCACTCATAAGTGGATATTAGCCATATAATATAGGATAAACATACTAAAATCTATACTCCTAAAGAAGCTAAACAACAAGGAAGACTCTAGGGAAGATACTCAATCCTCATTCAGAAGAACAAATGTGATAGACAATGGAAGCAAAAG